GTTACATCAGCGATGATGTATAAAAATGAAGTCAACTCACCCTCTCGTGAAACCGTTGAATGTACTATCAGCGAAAAAGGGGATGCGTATTGCAAGCTCAGCAATGCCAGTTGAGGGTTTTTTCAATGGTTACTGCTCGATAATTGTGCGACAATCGAGCTTTATTTTAGTTCGTTTTGAAACAAATCTGCAAAGCATTGATCTAACTATCAAGACGTTGTTAAGAAAATATACAGTACAGGGTGACTCAATAAGACCGCAGATTTTCTTTTATAAATAAAATTCCAAAGACGGGCGCCGGTGTCCTCATCGCAAAACACGCAATGCTCAAAACGCACTTCTTGCACAACGATCATTTTCATAAAACATTTGGATCAGTTTTCCACAGGCAGTAGTACCAATTGTCTGAAAAATAACAAACTAAAAAATATTACAACCAAAAAGAATTATTGTGAAATATCAATCTTATTAACAATACTTTCGAGAATATTTCTAAGGGAAACAATGGGGAAAAAAGGCTCCGGAACGTTCTGGAAAAGTATAGCATGGGAACAAGAGTATAAGGGACTTTCTGATAGAGTACGACCGGGAAGAAACCTCCTATGGTAAAATTAATCAAAAACGAACTGAAATTTTAATAATAATTATGCATATTAAGTCAACGAAAGACTTAAGAAATTAACTTTTCTTGCACAGAAAATGAAAAATTGTTACATAAATAAACAGTGCCTCCTAATGATATAGGATACGGAAGTTGAAATGATCCAGCTTTCCTCTGGCTAAGAATTAACAATCGTTATTTTAACTAAAACGATTTTTCATCCCAACACTCAGATGGCCCTCTCATTCTTATCACTATGTTCCCAAAACTTTTGTACTCGTTTTGTTCTATAGCAGAAGTTTCCCCAGACTTTTGTGTTTATTTTATCTTCCGGGAAAACGTTTCCGAAAGTTTCGTTCTCATTCTATTCTTTTTGAGAACGTTTCCGGCAGTTTTGTTCGCATTTCGTTCTTTACGGAAACGTTCCCGAAGCTTTTGTTCTAATTTTGCTCCCGTTCAAACTTCTCTCAATAAAATTGTTCCCGTTTAGCTCGATTGTGGGAACGTTCTCGATATTACCTACATTTTTTTCTCATGCAGAACTAAACCAGAACCGGAAAGGGTTCACTTTAAGTTATTAAATAAGTAATCTTTTTAAAACTCGGTTTTTTAACAATGTTTTCTTTTTTTCATTTCCAGAATTCCATTCGTCACAATCTGTCGTTGCACAATCGATTTATGCGCGTCCAAAATGAAGGTACTGGCAAATCGTCTTGGTGGATGCTTAATCCGGATGCGAAACCGGGTAAATCAGTGCGTCGGCGTGCCGCTTCTATGGAAACGTCGCGCTACGAGAAGCGTCGGGGGCGTGCCAAAAAGCGCGTGGAGGCTCTACGTCAGGCGGGCATTACCGGTCTGAACGATGCGACACCATCGCCCAGCAGTAGCGTGAGTGAAGGTTTGGATCACTTCTCGGAGAGTCCATTGCACAGGTATCTATTAACTTAGAGTCATGAATATTATATGCTTTAATAAAAAACTTAGTGCAAAATTGCAGTAGTTGCCGCAGTATTTTTGAAACAATTCCATTCGCTTTTTTGCCTTTTTAGCATAACATTTAGAAAATTAGTGTTTTAGCATCTTGGCAGAAATATTATTTTGAGATATTTACACTATGATTTAAAATACTATTTTAATATTGGTTTCTTGCAATGATAAGTTCTTTTTGCAAACTAAATACAAGCAAATGTGGGAGCAAGCATGTTATAGCAGCTTTACAATAGTTTCCAAAGCACAAGTTTAGTTGAAAAATTTTATGTGCATATCTGCGGCATTTCGATGATACAAATTAACTAAATTTGGATTAAGACAGAATAAGTCTCGTTTAAAGGGTTTTACACAGATCGAGTCACTGAAAAAGGAATAAAACACAATCTAACAGCTGTCAATCTACATCGGTATACCAAAAGGTATACAAAGAATAAAGTTTGGAAAGCTCAACTATGTTGTACAGAAAGCTTTAAGAATGTGTTCGGTCCGTGAGACAGCATGTTAGTAGTATTAAAGTACATCTTAAACTACGCCTAAGGCTAGTTAATCGTTAAAATACTATTTGGCTACCCAATTAAATATTGTTCTAAGATAAATTGGCTCAACCCGAGATAAGTTCTTTTATTAAAATGCTACAGATATGTACTTAAAATAGTAGTTAAAGTAGAAAGTAGATATAAATCATTTTCAAAGTGCGTAATTTCTAGATATTTTGATTCTAGCGCCATCTATGTTTTGGGCCAATATTTTGCAGAATCAGATGTTATCATAACCTTTACATCAAATCATGACACTTTACATCAAATCTAAAAGTCATGTGACTTACAGTTTCGAAGTTACACCTGACTGAAATGCCACGCATATTGGATGTTCCACTCCCCTTCTTTAAACTCATATGTATAAACCATGGAAAGGAATTGTGGGTGGCTGGAAAAACTAACAACAATTTTTCCAAGCACTCTGGTGGTATTGCCCATTGCACTTAAGAAGAAGAGACAGGAATTATGGAACAGGGATATAAAAGTGCGGTGGGAATTCATTACTCCTTTGCAAACTTACCAGACTCCTTTATGAATCTAAGCAGTTTGTGGACGGAAAAAGAATGTATCTCGTCCATTTTCAATACAACCGACCCATAAATGTACCACCTAAGTCTGGCAAAGGCCGGATGGCGGCAGCAAAAATGCAAGATGTACACAGTGGCCATATGCCGTCCCCAAGGATTGTGCTCCGAAATCAGTCCTAGAAGGGCTCTAGATTACTCCTTCCTTGTCTGAGAAGGAATTTTTCTACCACCCTGTCAGACCTTTTCAGGAAGCACTTGGTTGTTTTGCAGGCATCAATACCACACCAACGGCTCTCATGAGTTTTATTTATGACTCCGGTCAAACTGAAGTCTCCAAAGAATCGCAGTTCTCCAATTCATTAGATAGTTCGTTGCCTTGAATACCGTGGTGTCTTGGCACGCAAATAATTTTAAACTCATTCCACTTTCTAACGGAGTTCCGCCTCCACTTACATCCCTGGACTATCTTTAAGGAGGTGTTAGCACTTTCCAGGGCATTTAGAGCAACTTCGCAAAAACTTCCAATTGGAAGAAAGTAAAGCATCTGAAGTTACTGTCCAGATGCCACCCTGCTGCATTTTCAGCCTTTGAGCCGTCGATGTAAAAAGTTTTCGGCGAGCTTCCATGTAGGAAATCTAAATACATACTTTCTTCCAAAGGAGACTCCAGGCATCAGTTTGTCAATAGTTGCCAAAAAAAAAGGATATTGCTCTAAAAACCGATTGTCCTGCCACAGACCAAAAGAGTGCCTATACAACACCAAAACCGTGATTTTGACCATTGGTTTGCGCAAGCATACTGCGGCAGAGTACGTGACGATTGGTCTGATTAAAACTATGTATACTAGGGTGGTCTTGCTGCGATTTACAGCAAGGCAATGCAAAGTGCACCATTCATCAATCTTATTCAGGATTCTAAGTTACTTAATGCAGACCTCCCTCAGAGATTTATCTGAGGACAGTGGATGTGAACGAAGCCTTGCACTAACAAATACCACAAGTGAGTTGATAGCCTACCTCGCTGAGGGCATCTTCTCCCAAACACTAGAATGGTATAAAGGCTAGCTTCGTCCCCCACTGTCAGCAGTCTGCTAGATGACATCAGGTGAATACACCTAACGGTTATTTTGTGCACTTCATGTCTTCTGGCCGCAGAGCACATAGAGTCAAAGATAGCGCTGTTTAACGCCCGCTCAATATCAGAAAAGACTACCGCTAGCTTCCAATCTCACCTCGATCTTTGTTACAAAGTCCTGTTGCTAAGGGGACTGTCGTATTTTGACTCAGAGTAGCTCACTTCGGCCGGTTGCAATGCTGTTGTAGATTTGATGTATGATCGTTCCACCCAATGCACTGGTGAGTGCCTGCTACGTTAAGATTTGTCTATCATTGAGGCATCGTAAGCTCTTTTAATGCTTTGGCTTTGATTTGCGGTTGGTCCCTCTGATTGAATAAATATATTTGTCTTTCAGGATATGCCCTGAATCCTCTGCTTATAGTTAGCTGTTTTAAAGGGTA